AGATCATCTAACAGAAAATCGTATTTGCACTTGGAAATAAGGTGGGTTAAAGAGGAATATGGTCAGCTCATCAAGACCAAAAATCATGCTGGCGCATCGAACTGTGTTACAAGGAGGGTAAGTGTTCGTGGATCGCTTGTGTATGAAACGATATATTTGTGTTATCAGCTAGCATGTCAGTGGATTGGTTGGCAGAAAATGACGATTGTGTAATTTGGAACCCCAAGATCAAACATCCCATATGATAACCAAAAAGCTTGTCAAGAACTCCTTGTGGAATTTGTGAAATTCCTATCATGTCCGTTGTGGTTCGGGCGCATGGAGAGATTTCTTTACTTTTATTTGTGTGCCCTCGTGATTGTTACGTGACAAACGTGCCATTTGCTCTCTTGGGAAAACGGTCACTACACTGGAACAAGAATGATGTAGCGCATTTCGGCTCTCGAGTATAAAAAGAAACGATTTGTTCCTCAAATAGCGATCCGTGAATTCATCCCAAAAAACACGCCAGTGAAGGCGGATCATCTGACGACCAATAGAGTTGTGGCAAACTCTTGGTGACAAGCAAACTCTTGTAGATCATCTAACAAACATTGTAGACGAGACATGGATGGAAAATCTCTGCCCTATGCATACATCATTGGCATCGGCACGAGAATGTCAGTGTCGCTAGTGTACGGGGAACTGTATACATAAGAGGCATGGATGTGGCACTCACCCCCCTGTGTGGACATCACTGGCATCGATGGGTGGGCCGGGGGTGGTGGATGGTTGGGTTGGTGTATCAGCGTGAATGCCTGTCATTCTCTATATGAGTCATGTATGTGCCACAACCACTTGTCGTACATCACTATTATCGCCAGAGAGCGGACAAATGTAAACAAAATTAGCATACCGTGTAGACTCGTCCGAGAAGCCCAAGTGCAAGATCTGGATCATCGGTAATAGAAATGCGATCTGGAGTGTGGGAGATGCAATGAATCCTCTCACAACCGTGGTGTTGTCTACTAATAGGCTTTACTAGATCACTGATGATTCTAGTTTAATTGCTATGTCGGAGCATGAATACACATTTGACAACTGCTAGAGAGATAGCTTTTGGTGACAAGTAAACTTTTGGAGATCATCCGACAACCATGGTAGAAGATACGTGGATGTAAAATCTCTGCACTGTGCAGGCATCATTGGCCTAGCCATGACAATCTCAATGTACCTAGTGGACAGGAAACTGTATATATAAGAGGATGTTACGGGTATACAAAAGAGATGGATCTGGCACTCACCGCCTGCGTCGACGTTACGGGCGTCGCCAGTAGAGTATCTGGGTCACCGATGTGCGAGGGGGGGATGGGGTTTAGTGACCATGACTTGCCAGATGCCTTCTGGATGATATAACATGCGCCTCTCGTGTGATCATCGGCGTCTGTTAGTTCTCCTTCCACAGATGTTGTCGATGTACACGATGGGTGAGATTCTGAAATTATATATTACTCATGGATCTGACACTGCCCCCGATGTGGACATCACGGGCAAACTTTTGGAGATCAGCTAACATAAAAATCGTATCTGCACTTGGAAATAAGGTGGATTAAACAGGAATATGGTCGGCTCATCGAGAACAAAAGCCATGCCGGCACATCGAACTATGGTGCGAGGGGGTTAAGTGTTCGTCAGGGATCATTAAGTACGGGATTCGGATAACCCACCGTAAATTATGAGCTAGCGATAGGCACTTGACGGTGTGTGATCATTCCAATTTACTTGTTTTAACGTCCATGACTATCTAGACGCCTTCTAGATGATATAACATGCACCTATCGTGTGATCATCGGCATCTGTTAGTTCTTCTTCAATATATGTTGTCGATTTATATAATGGACGAGATTTTGATAGTATATAGGTCTCGCGGATCGGAAACTCCCCCCGATGTGGACTTCGCGGGCAAACTTTTGGAGATCATCTAACACAAAATCGTATCTGCATGTTGGAAAAATGTGTATCAAACAGAAATATGGTCGGCTCATCAAGAACAAAGTCATGCCGCCACATCGAACTGTGGTACAAGGAGGGTAAGTGTTCGTCCGGGGTTATAAAGTACGTAATTTAGATAACCCGAAATAAATTATGTGCTAGCGATAGTCCTTTCACGGTATGTGATGATTCCAATTTGCTTTGTTTAACGTCCATGACTAACCAGCTGCCTTCTGGATGATATAACATACGCCTCTCGTGTGATCACCGGCATCTGATAGTTCTTCTTCATTAGATGTTGTCGATGTATGTAGTGGGCGAGATTATGAAAGTATATACGTCTCATGGATCTGACACTAACCCCGGTGTGGACATCACGGGCAAAATTTTGGAGATGATGTAGCACAAAATGGTATCTGCACTTGAAAAAACATGTGGATTACACAGAAATATGGTCGGCTCATCAAGAACAAAAGTCATGTCGGCAAAACGAACTGTCGTACAAGGAGGGTGAGTGTTCGTCTAGGATTATAAAGTACTGAATTCGGATAACCCACCGTAAATTATGAGCTAGCGATAGGCCTTTCACGGTATGTGATGGTTCCAAGTTGCTTGGTTTAACGTCCATGACTATACAGCTGCCTTCTGGATGATATAACATGCGCCTCTCGTGTGATCAACGGCATCCGCTAGTTCTTCTTCCATAGATGTTGTCGATGTCTATAATGGGCGAGATTCTGAAACTATATAGGGCTCGTGGATCTGACAGTACACCCGATGTGGACTTCACGGGAAAACTTTTGGAGATCATCTAACAAAAAATCGTATCTGCGATTGGAAACAAGGTGGGTTAAACAGAAATATGG